CATACAAATTTTCTTAGGTTACTCTGAAATAGTAATAAATATAGTAAAAAATAGTAACCTAAGTAATAGAAATCATCATTTATCAGAGTGCAATAATATTCTATTACATACATACATTCTATTACATACCATAAAATTTTAAGCTATTCCTCAACATATGGTCACCTATTGAAAAAGAAATGAGCTATTACTTTGATTTATATTTAGTTCGATTATGGGATTAGCCTTCCTTCTTTAGAAAGAGCTAGTCCTACTAAACCAGACTAACATAGTCTTTTAAGTCTAGGTTACCTATAGATTTAGTGAATAGATAGATTGAGAAGACTTTATCATTTAGTAGCAGGTAATTTAGAAGAATAAAATAATCATAAGATTATAGGGTTTTTCTTTGTAACAGAAAGGGGGGGGTTGACCAAAGGCTAAGTCCCCCTTTCTAGCAGAAAGTCGGGCTGACCAGAGGCTAAATTCCCCTTTCTGGCAGCTGGGGAAAGGTTAGCCAGCGGTGAAGTTAAGCTGCCTTTTTTTCTTGAGCTAGAGTTTAAGTTGAGTAATGGACTAAGGAAGGTGGGGAGGTGACTGCTAACCACTGACCACAAGTTCCTCCTGCCCAGTACACTTTCTGGTTACAAAAAATATGATGTCTGGCATAGGATTAAGAAAGTCTGGGAGAAGCTAACTAGTCAGGTGACCTTCCTTGTCCAATAGAATTATGTTCAAAACAAGTTTCTGTAATTTTTCCAATTCTTTTAGTTATAAAAACCTTCTCTGTAAATCACCCTTTGTCTCTGACCTTTGAGGAGCCAAGTGACCTGGTTTGATATGCAAATGCTAGCTTTGCAAATTAAATCATACATGGCAACTTTGTCCTCAGTTTCCTTTTTATTTCAGATAATCAATTTGAACAGTCTTTAGTTTCCCATACTTGGACCCACCATAAAAAGGGCTGCTGTAAATGTTTTTGTGCATACTTCTACTTTTCCTTTTTCTCTTCTCTTTTTGGGGAATAGGTCTAACAGTGGTATTGCTGGGTCAAAGGGTATCCACATATTAGTGACTTTTGGGGCATAATTCCAAATTGTTAAGATGGCTGGACCAATTCACAGCTCTACTAATAGTGCATTAGTGTGCTCATTTCTCCATAGCACCTTCAACAATTGTTATTTTTCCTTTTTGTATCTTTGTCAATCTGATAGTATAAGATGGAACCTCAGAGCTGCTTCAATTTGCATTTCTCTAAATATCAATGATTTGGAGCATTTTTCATATGATTGTTAACCATTTGGTTTTTTTTTTTTGCTTTGAAAACTGCTTGTTTGCATTCTTCTTCTATTGGGGAATGGCTCCAGTTTGTATAAATTTAAATCAATTCCTTATACATTTTGGATATAAGTCTTTTATTGGAGAAACTTGCTGCAAAGATTTCCCCTCCATCTCCCCCCCCTTCCCTTCTATTCTTAACTATATGGATTTTGTCTGGGCAAAACCTTTAATTTTATATAATCAAAATTGTTCATTTTATCTTCTATATTCCTCTCTAATCCTTATTTGGTCATGGATTCTTCTTTTCTTAATAGATCTGAAAGGTAAATTTCTTCTTTGCTACTCTGATTTGTGTACTGTCAGCCTTTATTTCTATTATAATATCCATTTGGAACTTGGTATACAATGTGAGATACTGTTATATAAATACTCTGTCAGACTGCTTTCCATTTTTCCCAGCAGTTTTTGAAAAGTTCTTACTCTAGGGGCAGCTAGGTGGCGCAGTGGAGTCAGGAAGACCTGAGTTCAAATGCGACCTCAGACACATAACACTCACTAGTTGTGTGACTCTGGGCAAGTCACTTAACCCCAATTGCCTCACCAAAAAAAAAAAAAAAAGGAAAAGTTCTTACTCCAATAGCCAGAATCTTTGGGCTTACCAAACACCATGCTACTGTTTGTTTCTGTGTATTGTGTACCTAATTTGTCCCACCGATTGATTACTCTGTTTTTTAACTCTTACCAAATCACTTTGATGATTACTGCTTTATAGTATAGTTTAAGGTCTGGTACTGCTAGATTCACTTCTTTCATTCCCCCCCCCCCCAGATTACTGACCTTTTATTCTTCTAGATGAATTTTATTATTTATTCTAGCTCTGATACCATAAGTAAACTAGGAGAACAAGGAATAGTTTACCTATCAGATCTATGGAGAACAGAAGAATTCAATGACCAAACAGGAGATAGAGAACATTATGAAAAGCAAAATGGATAATTTTGATTACATTAAATTGAAAAGTTTTTGCACAAACAAAGCCAATGCAACTAAGATTAGAGGGAAGGTAGAAAATTGGGAAAGAATTTTTACAACCAGTCTTTCTGATAAAGGCCTGATTTCTAAAATATATAGAGAATTAAGACAAATTTATAGGAACACAAGCCATTCCCCAATTGATAAATGGTCAAAGGATATGAACAGGCAGTTCTCAGATGAAGAAATTAAAGCCATCTACCAATGACTAGCTCCCAAATTCCATTTAACCAATTGCAATCAATTAGTTTTTATAAAAGGATATTTACTTCAAAGACATACACAGAAGTACAAACATTTACCCTCAGCACTCTCTCATATGTTACCTCTGTCTCTGGGGAGAGGGGCTTCAAACTTAACCGTTTCTACATAGCCTTGATCCCACCAATTTTACATCCAAATTCGTCATTGGTATCAGATGAGTCCTAGTCTCAGCTTCCACTGGGCTGGGTCCCAAAGGTTGATCTTCACTCTTTGGAAAACCAGCATGAGCTAGACTGCTGGATTCCCAGACTCACTGAGTTCAGGTGGCTCACCTTCATCCCATACAACAAAGAATTTTTTTTAAAGAAAAAGAAAAAGCCAAAGAGAAAAAGAGGAAAAAAATCAGCAAAACGAATCAATGCAGTGACATGTTCCCCCCTCTCCCTTTGCAGAGACATATGGTCTATGGATGTGGAACATTTTCAGATTTCTTCAGGTATTTTCAGAAGCAGGGGAAGTATACTCAAGCTGAATCAACTTGTTGTCCATGCTGGAACTGATGTTGCATATCCTTCCCTTGCTGGGTAGTTAACCTCCTTTGGTTAAATACTAGATAGATAAGAGTGTCTGATTTTGTTCCAATCTTAAAGCTAAACTACCATGAGACTGGCCTGAATTAAGCCTCCTGCAAAATGCCACACTGCCTCTCAAATGTGAGAATGAATGTGAAAGATACAGAGGATTTGACTCCAAGGGAACATACACCAAATGAGGTCTTCAGCTAATGGCATTAAAGAAAAGACACCTCATCCCATCAGGGTATCACTAGAACCCTCTGGGAGAGTGATACGAGAGAATACTTGCTACAAAGAGAAAACTCAGATTTTGACATATGTCCCTTGATTTATATACTGACACATCATGCCCATATCTAGTTATTCACATGTTTCCACCATTAGAATGTGAGCTCCCTGAGAACAGGGAGTTTTTGCCTTTTTTTGCACCCCCAGTGGCTATTAGCACAATACCTGCACACTGTAGTCACTTAATAAATGCTCACGGACTGTTCTTTTTTAGGCAATGGGGTTAAGTGACTTGCTCAGGGTCACACAGCTAGTGTCTGAGGCTGAATTAGAACTCAGGTTCTCTGAATCCAGGGCCAGTGCTCTATCCACTGCACCACCTAGCTGCCCCTGATTTTTGAGACTGAGAATTATTGCTTTTCTGTCATTGCCTTAGCGTCCATCAAACAGTACTGGGCTAGAAGATCTGAAGGTCTGATCCAGAAGGGCTATTCTTATGTTTTCAGCAATATAACATTATCCACACCTTTCCCCATCCAGAGCAGTTTCTATTTCCACATTTTTTTTCCTTTTTCACGTTGTCTTTCTTCTACCCGTTATATGTGAAAATGGAGGCTTATATCTTATTTGCTCTGTTGCGCAGAGCATTTGGACAAGGCAGGGAGGAGCTTTATAAATAACTGCGTGGTCCAGGAATATGGAGAGTGAACTCTATCTCCACAAGATCCCCGCCTTTAACTCGCTTGCAGACCAAGAAGGGTTAACCTTTCTTTCTTCCCTCTTCCCATAGCCAACGTCACTCTACCTTTGTTCTTTCTACTTGCCTAAAATAATACCTTATCCCTTGCAAAAGGCTTTCCTTTTAGTCTTGACTCAGACACCCTCTTTTTGCCCTTTTCCTTGTCTCTCTTCCTTTTCACTTCATTATCTGGATTCTCTTCCCCTTCTCTCTCCCTACCTTCTTTTCTGCTTTCCTCCCCTCCTCTTCCCTGTCATCTTTCTTTCTCCCTCTCCTCACCCCCTTATTTCTTGCTGTCTCTTGCTTTTCCCACTTCTCATTCTCTTCCGGGTGCTCATCCTTGTTTTTTTTTTTCCCCTGCCGTCATCTTCTCTTCTCTCTCCTCTCCTCGACTCCCCTTGTCCTTTCCCTTGTTCCTCCTCTTTCTTCCCTTCCCCTTCTCTTTCTTTCCCCATCTTTTTCTTCTCTTTTTTTCTCTTTCCTTCCCTTCTCTTTTTCTTTCCTCTGGCTTTTATTCAGTTAAGCTAAACAAACATTTATGGAGCATTTACTATGTCCTAAGCATTGTGCTAGGCGCTGGGGATATTAAGATTAAAAGCAGAGGAGCTGCCCTGGAGAAGCTTACAGAATGAAAGGAAAAGCAGAACACAAAGCAGGGAACGAAAATGGCAGATAAGGACCCCCAGCATTCCTTTCTCAGCCGGCCACTGCTTGTGTGTGGGGCGGGAGGAGGGACTAAGGGAGGAGAAGGGGGGACGGGGAGGAGAAAGGAGAGCTGTTGAATCATTGGACAGAATGACTGAGTGATGAGGGAAAACAACTAATAGACGCACATTATTTCCTGAAAGGTTCCACTTCCCATGCACACTTAGACCAATCAGAGCACTACAAGAGTGAGGTAGCATTCCGGGACCTTGGTAACAAGCATAATTTACACAGGACTCCGCCTCTTCCTCTCCGGTACCCGGTGCTCTAGCTGTGGAAACCGGAAGTGTGCTCTTTGGCGGCGAGTCCTCCGTAGACCCTGTGCCGGAAGCAGAGGCTAAGCGGGTTTTACCATGGCTGCAGTGCCGCCAGATTCCTGGCAGCCCCCCAACGTTTTTCTGGAGACCAGGTGAGGCGCTGTGTGTGTGTGTGTGTGTCTGTGTCTGTGTCGAGTGAAGTACGGACCGGCGGAGTGGAACCGGAGAGCAGGCTAAGGCCGGGGGAGGACGGACGGGCCTTTCCCAGGGTGTCTGGGAAGCCACCACCCGCCTCCGAGGCCTCGTCAGGGGCACTGAAGGCCGTCAATATCAGGTCATCTCCTTGCTTAAAAATCTTCGGTGACTCTCCATTGCCCCCAGAGTAAAAGTCCAACCTCCCAAGGTGGCATTCAAGGCCCTCCATAGTCTGGCCCCATCTTAAAGGAGGCAGCGGCGGGAGCACTGCCCTGTGCGGCCGCCCTGCGTTGCCATCTCCAGAGGCTAGGGGTTTGTCGGAGTAGGGTTTTTCAGTCTCAGGGTAACGACAGTCGTTCAAAGGAAAGCACAGCACCTTGTATATAGAAGGGTCTTAATAAATGTGGGAAGAACAAGACAGGGTCGAGAGACTGGACTTCCAACTTCTTTCTTTGCCACTAGATGGATTGGGCATGTATTTTTTTTTTATTACAAAAGGGTAGTTTCCTTTGTAAAATGGAAGGATTGAACTAGCTCATCTCTAACATCCTTATTGACTGTATTAGTTCGTGATGATTTGAGGGTGGAAGCCACATTAGCAATGTAAATAAGCCTCACATTCAGTAAATGCATCTGCTGCCTTCTTTGTGGAGACTTCCTGGAGAGGGGGGCAGGAATTGCAATCCATCTGCAGTCCACACTTCATCCTGTACGATTCTTGTTTGTGTGCTGTAAATCTTACAAAGAGGATTATTTCTAGCATAGTGGAGACTTCTTTGTAGGTCTTTTGACATTTTGTGGGTACGAGTGGAGCACATGGGCTGTCCCGTTGCTTTCCCAGTGTTACTGGCCCACCTCCTTTACCAGTTATGTGATTCCTGCAGGATGTCTTTAACATTTCTTCTTTATTGGTAGTGTGCTGCAGCCTATTTCTGTTTGTCATATGTCTTTACGATATCCTTTAGGTCCCCCCCAGTTTTGATTCTTTGAAGATTGTGGTATTCTATTATCAGCAGCTGTATTGCATCACCAGAAGAATATTACTTATTAAACAGATGGGTTTTTTGCCTCAGGGAGCAAATGCTCTCCTTGGAAGCACTGCACAATTTCTCCAAATGCAATCTAGCTCATTTTCTTCTTCCTATTTGATTCTGGACCCAGCTTAATGTCTATTTGCAGTGCCTGTCTGAGATAAATGTACTGATGGTGTACTAGCTTGGTAGAGTGCATATCCAACTTTATGACACAGTTTAGACTGATGGTGTCAAACCCAAATCAAGAGCTAGCTGCATATTGACTTAGAAAACCAAAAATTAACGTTAGGAGTTTGACATCTCTGGTTTAGACAACAGGCAGTCTTCATTTATTTTTTCTTCTATGGATTGTTAGGTAGATTGCTTTGAAATGTTTATTCTCTTTGAGGAATCTCTCTAGTATGGAACTATGAACACAATGTCACTCTTAAAGTGGAGCTTCTGGAAGACCTTACCATCTATAAGGAATCTTTTTCATTTGGATTGCTTAGGATATTCCTCGAGGCCATGGCAAACCCCTTTGGCAGAGAGTTCACTATTTTATACTTGTTATACAAAGTCAGAAGATTGTTGGTCTGTGGTTATGTCTATAGGAATTTTGTCATATGATCATAGAAATTTGGAGTTGGAAAAAATGTTAGAAGTAATCTAGTTTAACTCCCTTATTTTGTAGATGAGATGCCCAGAGTGGTTAAGTGAATTACCCAAAGTAATACAGGTAGGGTATGGCAGGACTGTGATGTACTCAGGTTCTTTGTCTCCAAATTCACTGCCTTTTCCATTGCATACCACCTCTATTCATGATCTGAGTTGATGTATGAGAAACCTCTTGTTGGAGGAGAGTCTTAAAAGCAGCATTTTGCTCTACTGTATCAAACTTGTGGAAAAAAATAATCAACAGTTAGACTGTGGACACTTGTCTTCTCTCTACTTTTCTATTTGCTGTGTAGCTGTGAAGGTGTGGTCTGATGTAGAAAATGTAATTTCTGTTATTGAGAAATCTAAGAATGGTAGATCCCTTGAGTTCAGGAGTTATGAGCTGCAGTGGGCTAAGTCAATTGGATGTCCAAACTAAGTTCAGCATTAATATAGTGTGCTCCTGTGAACCAGATTGCCTAAAATGGGATAAACTGGCCCAGGTTGGAAATGGAGCAGATTAAAGTTACCATGCCCGCGGCAGCTAGGTGGCACAGTGAATAGAGCACCGGCCCTAAAGTCAGGAGGACCTGAGTTCAAATCTGGCCTTAGACCAAACGCTTGACACTTACTAGCTGGGTAACCCTGGGCAAGTCACTTAACCCCAGTTGCCTTTAAAAAAAAAATAAAAAGTTACCATGCTGAACAGAGTTGGATTGAACCTGTTAGTTGCTCCTGCACTTCCAACCTGGGTGAATTAGGTAGAACCTGTGACTTTAAAAGAGAAGGGAAAATAGTTTGTTGAAGTCTGGTAGTTTTCAGTTCATATTTTAATCAAGAATACCTTCTTAGCCATGTGTATGTCATTTGTTCTTTTTCTTTTCTTTCTTTTTTTTTTTTGCTTTTAGGCAATTGGGGCTAAGTGACTTGCCCAGGGTCGCACAGCTAGTAAGTGTCAAGTGTTTGGTCTGAGGTTGGATTTGAACTCAAGGTCCTCCTGACTTCAGGGCTGGTGCTCTATCCACTACGCCACCTAGCTGACCCCCATGTGTATGTCATTTGGAGAGATGATGAAGTAGGCATATGGGTTTTTGTTATTGATGTCCTTTTCAGTGTCTTTTTTTTAATAATATTGCAATTTCCATCATTCAGCATATTTCCCCCTTTTAAAAATACCTAGATATCTAATTTCATGTATCCTAGTGTCTTCAAATTCTCTTTCAGTGCTTTCAAAATTTTATTGTTTCTAGGCCAGATTTCTTTATGTGTACCAGCTGCTCATCCTTGTCTTCCTCTTTAGTGAAATGTCCAGTTCAGTGTACCATACACATTTATAATGTCTTACATGCAGAAGACACTGTGAGGTTCCTGCCTTCAAGGAGCACCTACTGGGAGATACAACATGTACACAAAAGAATACAAGGAAGATTGAGGAAGGGGAAGCACTAATGCCAGGGAACGTTTCATGTAGGAGTTGGCAGCTGGGCTGAATGTTGAATGGAGACATGCATTCTGAGAGGTAGAGGTGAAGAGGGAGGGTGTTCCTGGCCTGGGGGATGGTTTGTATGAAAATGGGAGATACACCATTAGGTTTGAGAGACAGCAAGTAGGCCGGTTTTGTTGGCACTTAGAATGTTTGAGAGAGAATAATTTGAAATCAGTTCAGGAAAGTAAGTTGGAAACTGTAGTATGAAGGATATTAAATGCCAGGGTAAAGAGTTTATATTTTGTGTTGCCTGCAACCAGATAGTACACCAAATGGAAAGGCGTGAAATAAACTTGAGACATGACCGGGAGCAGTAGAACTGACTCAGTTTATTCTTCTGAGGGTACAGGATATATAGAGAAAATCCATCCTCACTTCAAAGAGTCCTCCCCAAAACATCTGCTAAGGATGCGATAACATACATTTCCTCCTTATCAGAGTTCCTAGATAGGGTTGTAAATTCCAAGGCTTTTTCCTGGCCGCTCTTGTATAGAGGAGTGAATATGTAAAACAAAGGTTCAAAGAATGAGAAGGAATGTCTCAGGAGCCTCCTAGCAGGGAGAGATTTGGAGAGCCCTGCTTCTTAATTATTGAGCCCTTTGGGTTAAAGCCTGGGCAAAGGTCAAACTCTGTCCTGGATCTTAAACCCATATCGGACTCTTAAGAGAGGGCCTCAACAATTTTGTTTATATTGGTCTCCGGAATGGTTGGATCAGTTCACACCTCCACCAATAATGCATTAGTGTTTCAATTTTCCCACATCTTCTCCAACATTTATCATTTTCCTGTTTTGTCATGTTGGCCAATCTGATAGGTGTGATGTGGTACCTCAGAGTTGTTTTAATTTGCATTTCTCTAATCAATAGTGATTTAGACCATTTTTTCATGTGACCATAGATGGCTTAATTTCTTCATCTGAAAACTGCCTGTTCATGTCTTTTGACCGTTTATCAGTTGGGGGATGACTTGTATTATAAATTTGAGTCACTTCTCTGTATATTTTAGAAATGAGGCCTTCATCAGAGACATGCTGTAAAAATTGTTTCCCAATCTTTCTGTTTACCTTCTAATCTAAGGTTGCATTGGCTTTGTGCAGAATACTTTTCAATTTAGTGTAATCAAAATTATCCATTTTGCATTTCATAATGTTCTCTATCTCTTGTTTGGTCATAAATTCTTCCATTCTCCACAGATCTGACAGGTAAACTATTCCTTGCTCTCCTAATTTGCTCATAGTATTACCTTTTATGTCTAAATCATGTACCCATTTTGACCTTATCTTAGTATACAGTGTAAGATGTTGATCTATGCCTAGTTTCTGACATACTGTTTTCCAGTTTTCTCAGCAGTTTTTGTCAAATGGTGAGTTTTTGTCCTGGGAGCTGGAGTCTTTGGGTTTATCAGACAGTAGATTACTGTAGTCCTTGACTATTGTGTCTTGCATACCTGACCTATTCCACTGATCCACTGCTCTATTTCTTAGCTAGTACCAAGTAGTTTTGATGTTTGCTGCTTTATAATACAGTTTTAAATCTGAAATGGCTAGGCCACCTTCCCTTGCATTTCTTTTCATTAATTACCTTGGTGTTCTGGACCTTTTGTTCTCTCAGATGAATTTTGTTATTATTTTTTCTAGCTCTATAAGATAATTTTTTTGGTAGTTTGGTATAGGTCATGAATGGTGATTATTAACAAAGGAGACTGAGAAAGAGTAGGCTTACAAGTCTTGGCATTACCTTCCTGTTGTCTTGGTTCTCTTCCAGAGTGAAGGACAGACAACCACCTCTGTGAATGGAAAAGA